TTCTTCTTCACGATTAATTCGATTATTAAAAGTATTTCAAATTTACTATCTCACTTTTGGATAAAATATATTATACTATAAATTGAAAACACGAATTAAGAATGTCTCTTTTCTTTTTTCTTCCATTTCTTCTTCACGATTAATTCGATTATTAAAAATATTTCGAATTTACTTTCTCACTTTTGGATAAAAGGTACAATATAAATTGTATAAATTGAAAACACGAATTAAGAATGTCTCTTTCCTTTGTTTTTCCATTTCTTCTTCACGATTAATTCGATTGTTAAAAATATTTCGAATTTACTCTCTCACTTTTGGATAAAGTATATTATACTATGAATTGAATTAAGAATGTCTCTTTCTTTTTTTTTCCATTTCTCCTTCACGATTAATTCGATTATTAAAAGTATTTCAAATTTACTATCTCACTTTTGGATAAAGTATATTATATTATGAATTGAAAACACGAATTAAGAATGTCTCTTTCCTTTTTTTTCCCATTTTTTCTAAAATTATTTCGAATTTACCTTTGGATAAAGGATATAATATACTATAAATTGAAAGCATGAAATTAAGAATGTCTCTTTCCTTTGTTTTTCCATTTCTTCTTCACGATTAATTCGATTATTAAAAGTATTTCGAATTTACTCTCTCACTTTTGAATAAAAGTTACAATCTAGATCGAAGAGAACGATAAATATACTTTTTTTCTTCTCTCTCGACACGTATCCCTTCTTTGCGATAAAAAAATCAGAATTTTTACGGGAGCAACGATCGGCGTATCAGATCGATTCTTCTTTCTTTTTTTTTTTTTTTTTCATCAACAGTCCTTTCACACGGCGAACGCGTTTGGACTTTCATTTCGTCGACCCGAAAACTTTGATCCGCTTTGAGTCTCTTTATGCCGGTACACCTTCACTTCCGGTATATATATGATAGATTCGCAGAACGGAAACGACCATGACTGATCGCACATCGAAGAAATCGAAGAAATCGAAGAAATCGAAGAAATCGAATCGGCCTTCATCAGACTCTCGAGCGCATCTCGATCAACCTTGCCAGCCACGCTAGATTCCAACCACGCGTGGAACGACGCGTGATAATTTGTGCTCGGCGAGGTTCATCGATTCGATCCTTTCAAACCGTTTCTAAATACGGCCATCTCGTTCCTTTCGAATTCCTCGTCGAATCCAGATGGAAATATCCCTGAAGATTTTTGTTCGCCGCATTCGTTTCCGGTAAATTTGCGGTTGCATCCGAAGTCACGTTTGATCTTCCGCTTTACCGACCATTGCACCCACCGCAAGTCGTCGAAAAAGATTCTTCCACGCGGTGTGCTTCGTTTTCTGATTTCCAATTCCGATTATTATTTAAATCGTACGACGATAGATTTTAGATCGTTTTTTTTTAGATTTGTTTCTTTTTTTAAATCTTACCAGGAAACGATAACTTATCGAGATCAAGATTTTCTGAATCACACTCGTTCACAAGCATAATCTCTTCTGGTTGTGGCACCAAGTTAAATTATTATTATATTCTCATTAAGAAAAGAGAAAATTTTAAGAACGTCGCATCGGTCGAGGTTTAATAATTTCTTCCGTCGAAACGATCCGATTGCGACAGATTCGAATGTGATCCATCGAAAAGAAAGTATTACCCGAGCGAGATAACTTACACTTCCCACTTGCGCCCGTAAATACACGTAATTTCGTCTTCCGGTTAGACGGAGAGCGGTCAATGGAAAATGAAACTTTTCCCATATTCATAGTACGTACGAGGTGTAGTATAGTTGGATCGATGGTTGGCCGATAGGTAACACCTGTATACCGATATATCCTGGAAAGGGTCGGGCCTCTAGCGCGCGGAATCGAGTGAAAGGTGGTGGAATCGATGTTACTATATAAGCTCGGGATATTCTATTCCGGAGTAGACACTCAACAACGTTTTGTGCTTAAACAATATACACCCTTCCTTGGAAGCGACCAACAACTATGAATCATATCGTAAGATCAATGTGACGACTGTTATTAAATCTGAATGAACGATGCTCCTCGTTCTAATCGACACAATGAAAATTAAGAGTTCGTTTACACGAGATTTGAATGAATTGAGAGAGATATTAAAAAAAAGAAAAAAAAGGTAGAGAATTATCCGAATGTGCGAATGTTCGCAGATGATCGCCTTCTTTGGTCTCGCCCTGGCCTCTGGAATCGTTTCCGCGGGATACGTTGACGAGGATCATGGAAGCTCCACCTACGAGGAGAAAACTAAACCAGTGGAAATTCCTATATACAAGAAATATGGTAAATAAGGGGAAGGGGGAAAGATATTGATATTTAAGAAGAGTTAAATAATTACATTCGTGGTGCGATATTACAGCGATCCCGATTCCTCATCCCGTGCCAGTCGAGATCCCGCAGAAGATCGAAATTCCTATTCCCCAACCTCAAAAGGTCCCCGTCGAAATTCCACACCCTTTTCCAGTCGAAGTCGTGAAGCACGTCGAGGTGCCGATCGAGAAGCCGGAACCTGTTATCGTGGAGAAGCACGTGAGTAAGAAAGAAACGTGGAATTATCCAAGAAAGAACGTGGGATAAAATGTGTCGCTTGAGAGAAAGAGAGAGAGAGAGAGAGAAAGAAAGAGGAAAAAAAGAAAAAAAAAATTAATAACTAAATCGTAGTATCGTTGTAACGTGTAATTTCGTCGGTTTCCCAGGTACCTTTTGTGGTGGAGAAGCCGTATCCAGTTTACGTCGAAAAGAAATTTCCCATTCCGGTCGCCAAGCCGTATCCAGTTCACGTGCCAGTTTATAAGCACGTATTCCATTACACTTCAAAGGGCAAAGGATGGCACTAAGGTGATCCTCCTATTACCCGCCCGGGGATTGTTTCTTCCACGGAGTGATCGTTTTACAAGAGAGTTTCTTTCCACCTGAAATCCAAACTTGCTTAATTCAACGAAAATCCATTCGTCGTCGTCTTGATCGTTTTTTTTTTTTTTTTTTCTTTTGCGAACAGAGATTATCTCAAAAGATCGAAAAAAGGAAAGAAAAAAACGAAGATATTATTTATAAGTATTTACCGATACTTTTGTTACTACTTTTATACACTTGTTAAGTTTTTTCCCCCTCTTTTTGTTTCTTTACCAAATAACATGTACACTTGTTAATAAATTATATTAAAAAAAAAAAAAAAAAAAAAAAAAGAAAGAAAGAAAGAGAAACACTTTGTTACACTTTGTTCCTTGATTGAATCGAATAATCGAACGAGTTTTTTGCTGAAAAGAGCAGCGACGGATGAAATGAGTCTACCGGAAGAGCGATACCGCTCTCTTCCTGTTGTTCGAGACGCAAGAAGGAAACGCGTAAGATTCGTTTCTTCTCGTCATCCGGTGTTACGAATCTACTAGAAACGCTCTTAGGAATCCTGCGCGATCTTGATTCGTCCATAATGAGCCCGACAACAGACGCGTTCCTACACTCGCGCCGTGTGGCAAAACCACTTTTACTCCGAGATATACTTTCACTGTTCCGCTAGCCGATACCGAGAGTATCGTGTACAATTCTAATCTTTCAAAACGACCTCTCTCTCTCTCCCGTGACCACACCTCTCCCTCGTGGGTCTACGCCCTCGTCTCGTGTCTTTGTTAAAAAAAAAAAAAAAATTAATATCTCTGAATCGCGGCATTCCACCTTGAATCGAATCACCTTGTGGACGATACGCGAAATGAGCTCCCTTGTTTCGTTGGAAAAATATATACGTTGGAAGGAGAGGAGAAGTTTCTGCATTCGAAAGTTCCAAGTTTTGTTGCAACGAGATGGTCGATGCGCGATTTGAAGGATTATGACCGGTGCGCCATCTAGATGGACGATTGAGTTCGTGTCTACGTATATTAAAAGCGTATATTGTGTCTATAATTCGAACTTTTTATCAAGGCTATTGTACTTGTATAATACATGAACGAATTAATTAAGTCGGATAAAAATTTTTTATTTATTGTATTTATTTATTGTATTTATTTATTTATTTGCAACGTGTACGTGTTTCACATCGACGTTCGTTGAGAGGTTATATCGAGGATCGAAGGGAAATTTCGTTTTCTTAAAATTCGCACAGTTGTTCAAATAATTGAAAAAAAAAAATAAAAGAAAAAATGAAAAGTATCCTCCCACGCAATACACATTCTTCGTATAGAAATTGTAATTAAAGACATTCTTCTTGAATCGCGTGTTGGATATCGATCTCACGGCGGCCGACATTAATTGACAAATTGTTAAATATGCGAATTAGACCACGACAGAGCTGTGTTGTATCTCGATTGACTAAGCTCGATTCTTGATTGTCTACTAGAAAGGTAGTCACGCTTAGGCATAATTAAAACTCTATTTACTCTTTTCTATCTTGTAACGAACTGAGAAATAAAATTAAACACGTCTAATTACTCAATATCCTCGAGAAAATCCTCGAGGAAGAAATAGAGATACTTCCTATCTCACCGTGTCCATTTATTCGCGAATAATATATCATTCTTGCCATAAATAGTGAAAATCGAAAGTGGTTCGGTATTCGTGGAAAACTGCTCGTGGTATCATAAATTTCTTAAACACATCTTTCGTTCGCTCTCTGATAAATTCACGAATGAACTCGAATCGCAACTCGATCGACCAAATTTTAAAATCGCAATTACGGAAAATGAAATGCGAAAATGCATTGTTCAATCGAGAAAGTGGCTTGTTTGCCGTATAATAAGAGAAAAAAAAGAAAAGAAAAAGAAAAAGAAAAAGAAAAAAAAATTGAATAACTTGGGAGGAAGGAATGGTCAGAGACTCGATCATAGGCAGATGTAGTATATCTTCGCAGACAATCGTGAAGCGATCCTGTACGTGTGGGAATGATTGCAACGAGTAATGAAGAGAAGGGAGAAAGTGACGTTGGTATATAAGCACTTGGCCGTGACTTTGAAAGCATCAAAGTGATCGTGGCGAGTTAACACTGCGAGTTGCACGCTCAGAATTTCGTTTTAGCGTGGATAAAGGTGCGGGGACCATGAGAGCTATTATAGTAAGTTTCGATCGCTCTATTTCTTCTACACTTTTCACTTTTCCACATCGATGGAATCTTGGTTAAAAAGAAAAAAAAAAAAAAAAAAAAANAAAAAAGAAGAATTATCGCGATCCCCTGCCGTTAAAAATTAATCAGATCGGATCATATTGTCGATCATTTTTCCCCGCTTACAACTTAAGGATTATTAATCGAACGAATTAACTAATGATATCGTCGATTATATCATTATAGATATTCGCCGGGCTAATTACATTGGTATACGCTTCTTACGAAGAGGATCATGGCAGCTCGACATACCACGAAATCTCCAAGCCCGTGGAAATTCCTGTTTACAAAAAATACGCCATACCCATTCCACATCCAGTTCCAGTCCCCATTCCTCAGCAAATTAAGGTACCCATTCCACAACCGTATCAAGTCGAGGTACCGGTACCGCATCCAGTGCCGATAGAAGTCGTGAAACACGTCGAAATTCCAGTGGAGAAGCCTGAGCCTTATGTGGTGGAGAAGAAGGTACGCTGGAATTTTTCCATTTTAAATTTTTAATATTAAAAAGAAAAGAAAAGAAAAGAAAAAATTATTAAACATCTATTTGAAAAAAAAAAATCATCGCGATAACAAATCTCTTCTTTCTAATTTTTGATTTACGTTTTCACGAAGAGAAAATAACGAAATGAAAATTATAGATGAACGATGAAAGAACCGGTGAACGTTGAACGCTCAGAAATATTGAAACGGAAATTGAATTATTGATAACACGACGAAATTTGATAATATCGCGGGACGTAGATATAATTTAATCCCCATATAATTTAGCGTTAAATTACTCTCAGTTTGATGTATACAAATACTACGATTTAAACGATAATTGACATTGATGTCGTACAGGTGCCGTACGTTGTCGAGAAGCCGTATCCGGTGACGGTGGAAAAGCACTTTCCGGTGCCCATCCCGAAACCGTATCCAGTTCACGTACCTGTCTACAAACACGTGTTCCATCACCAAAGTAAAGGAGGTTGGAAGCACTGATTTTTGTATCCATTCTTCCAAAGCAATCGAACGACTAGCCAAATATAACTGAAGACAGAAACATTCCAGTTTCTCGGCATTATGACATATTTTGTACATAGATCGTTGTTGTTATATAGTCAATCCATTGTTACGTTATTTACGAAATAAACTGTTTTTGTTTTTATATATACATAATGTCGATATATTGTTCCCTTTGACGAGATTAATCATCCAACGTTAAATGAATGAGCATGAGTACGTTCATCTTTTTCTTCCATATCTCTAAAATTTTGTTTATCTGGATGAAATAATCCAGAACTATATCCTTCTTGATTAATTCTTCTCAATCAATTAACACGCGATATTTATACTATTATTAAATCACATCAATTTTCCATCGTGTCTAAAATACCAAAGAATCTTGTATCAAAATTTTTCTGACACGGAGAAAGTGAAAATTGGCCGTAAAGATTTCTTATTCCTGTTTCCACTATTATAAAAATCCCTTTCGATGTTCGTTAACGATCGATCATCCTCGATCTATCCACCAGGCAATTATAAATGATCGTGTAACAGCGGATAGGTCTTAATAGCAGATAAATCGTGGCATGATTCAGTGGCGATCGGATGAAAATCGGTAAGAGAGACGCGTATAAATTGGTTTAAGAAAATAATTTCAAGCGAGAAAAAGGATCGAAAGGATTTTTCCTTTTTTTCTTTCCTCGAATTTCCGTAGGCGACACCCGGGGCGATCCAATCACCGTCGCCTCCTTCGGTTTTGTCTGTGCAGAGGCCGGCCAATGGAGCCGATAGGACGCGGTGTGGTAAATGACGAATGTCCAACTACGACGACATAACAGGGCTGCCCGCCCGAGGTGCAGAATTTATTCAGGAAATACCGACAGCTTGCATCATAGGCTTGACCGACGACCGCTTTTTACTCCGCTTAAGGGTATCGCATTCGACTCGGGCGGGCAAGAAACGTGCCCTGTTTAAGTGGTAGCAAAAGTTTATAAGACCGAGGGACACGCACGACGCGCTTTTAGTTTCGCATTAGAACCGACGTTCGCCACGTGGAACATCCGTCCAACGGAGGATCCGAAATCATGTTCAGATTACTGGTGAGTTCGAGACGAGGGATGAGAACGATCGAAAATTACGGGAAGGGAGGAGTATCTCGAAAATAAGAGAGATTATTGAATTTTTTTTTTTTTTTTTCTTTTTCGAATCGTGGAGAAACGAGTGACATTCTCGAACGTGAATTTTTAAAAAAAATTCAAAGAATCGAATAGTTTCTATTCGATCTAAGTTTTCGAAATAATAAGATAATAAGAATTCTTGAAATTCTCCTCGTGAGGCGAAAGAGAAATCTCGTCTCGAGATATTGGATTCCTAACATTTTTCCAATTCTCATCGATCGATTTTTATTAATTTCACACCACGTTACTTACCTTATCATCGAGCTTCCTCGTCGAAAGCCCAGAGTTTCTAAATTCTCATGTATTTGTCCGTCTCTCTAGATCCCGTGCCTGATATGGCTGTCGAGCGTTCGCTCGGAGACGAGCGTGAGCATGCACATGCCGGAGGGCATGATGGAGGACAAAGCGGCGATGAAAAGGGAGTCGTACTATAACCCGTGCCCTCCGACGTACGCGCACCCGATCTCGTACTCGCCGCCACCGCAGATTTACGTGAAACCGTACGTTCAGCAGGCCCCGTTACAGTACATCCCTAAACCGAGCATCACCTACGTGAAACCGTCTCCACCCCCCGTGATCGTGCCGCCCGTCGTCAAGCCAGCCCCGGTGATCGTGAAACCGATCGCCCAGCCGAAAGTGGTCTACCCGATCTACCAGAAACCCATGATATCGTACGCGCCTATCTACCAGAAGCCCGTCTACTACGCGCCCATGTACCAGAAGCTCATGTACCAGGCGCCCAAGGTTTACCTGAAGAAATACGAATTGCCTGCGATCACCCAAGTGATCACCGCCCAGAAATCGCACGTCTCCTACCCGATCCAGTATCACGAGCCGAAGGTGGTCCAAGTGCCCGCGCCCCAGATCAATTACGTGAAGCTCGCCCAACCGATCGTCCATTCCCCGCCTGTCTACCAATCGGCCATAAAACCGTACTGCCCCTAAGGACACGAGGATATATATTTGTCGAAGGACGAACGTCGAATGATCGCAGCGATCGAGGCTTCGATCGTTTTTTTTTTTATTTTTTACTTTTTTTTTTTTTTTTGTCTAGTTATTTAGTCTCGAAAAGGAGGGGGAGAAACGGAACAAGATTTTCCCCTCTCCCGTGAACTCGTCGAGAACTTCTCGCCCAACGAACGGAACTCGAAACGTCAAAGCGGCACAGCCTTAACGCCATGACGCCACGACGTTCGTAGTCAAGCGATAATTTAGCGAAATCACGCCACGCAAATTATACAATAAAGAAACGAAGGAACTGTCAATCTAGGTGTTCAATGTATCCACTCACCCTTGTCCGTGCGTATCCTCTTCCAACTTTTCCACCTTCGTTCAATTCGATTCCGCAATCGCTGCCGCTTCTTCGGTATCTAGGGGACTCTAGTGGCTCTCGTCGCGACAACGAGCGGGAGGATTGAAACTCCGTTAAAAGCTTATACCATTTTTCGTTTGGCGGAGAGCCGTTACGAGGGTAAAGTTTCGATGGTCGGCTGATTTTTCGCCCGAGAACTTTGCACTATGTGGATTTCATAACAGATAATCTCTCTTTCTCTCTCTGCAACACGAGGATTACGAGTCGATACAACGAGATTGCCTCTCTCTCTCTCTTTCTCTCTCTCGAGATCTTAATCCGAAACTCGTGGAAACTCATTTTTTCGATGAAACTTTCCCTCGATATTATTCCTGGCAAACCGAAATGGCGTTGCTCCTACGTTGCCAGTGTGTACACAGTGGTTCTCGGCCACTCCATCGATTTCGAGATGCCGCTTTTCCACCGACAAACCTTTCCAACCTCGAGAAGCAAACTTTGTTGGTCGTTGCTCGAGGGCAATCTCGTTTTTTCTGCTTCCATTTCATCATCGATGTTAAAGGTTAAATATAGAGAGAAAGAGAAAGAGACAAAGAAAGAGAGAGAAAGAGAGAGATACTTTTAAAATCGTCAGGTTTTTCCATACATATTTCACCCTGCTTCCAATTACGTGAACGTGCAAAGTTACGCCACGACATCAAAGTGATTTGCTCAAGATATCTCGTTCTAAGTTTGGTAGACTTGATATTACAAGAAATGAAATTGATCGGCGATTAACTTTTGACTCGATGTAATGTACTCCGACGATAAATGTTAGTAGATTTAAAGAAAAATGCAAAGAAAAAAGAAATGAGACATACCTGTGTATACGGCAGAAAAGCTGGGAGCCTGGCTCGAACGATTCAACGCTGGCAACGAATTTCCAGAATACCTTCTATCGGTCGACTAGGATTGCGCCAAGACTTCGGTGACCAAGACTATGTAAGGAGTTAATTACGAGCCGGTCTCGCTTTCGATTCCCGATTATTTCGATGAATCGTCCGTTTCCTCGCCCATTCGCCGCAATCCTATTACGCAAGTCGCGGCAATGAAACGTATAGTTATAGCGCGGTAACTAACGGATACGAGGGTGTAATCTTTTCCCTTTTCTTGTCAACATCGAACATCGGTTTTCGAAATTCTTTGCCAATGTCGCGTATAAAACGTGTATGCACGCGCGGAGATCCTCTAGTGGAATCCTCTTTTGAATATTTCTTTTGCTGGACATTAGAGGCATTCGCTATGAAGTGCTGTCTGTTGGTGAGTGATGTTATTTATTAAGTTTTAAGTATTAAGTCGTGCAGTGCAGTGAAATGCAAAAATTTTCCTGTAAAAATATTCTCGATCGAAACAATCTTTCGAAACAATCGACTTTCTTTCGAGCAACGATTTATCGTAAAATTCGATTGCAGTTGTGTCTTGCGACGATTGTCGTTTGCCAAGCAAGGAGAATACCAAGAATACCTCAACATCCGTATTTTCCTAATTTCCAACACGTTTATCAGCCACGAAATTACCCGAACGAACTAGGGGATCAGCATATCATCGGATCACCGCCTTTCTTTGGGAATTACAGAACGCAAGAAGAGAATACGGGCAGACAAGGAGGGAAGACGGGGAGAGAAGAAGGTGTGGGACAGGATTATTACGATCATCGAATTCCGATCGACGGTCAACCGAATTTCGTTCATCCTTTCGCAGGAGGTAACGTGTAAATGTTAATAATTATTTACGAGATAATATGAGATAATATGGTAAACTTTTCAGTCCCGTTCGACGATATCCCTGTGAACAATGCTGACTTCGGAGGCCGAGATATCAACGCGCCCCATCGATACGAACGATTCAACCATGCGCTCAATTACAATCACCAATTGTAATAAAATCCTTGTGTTTAATTTGGATTAAACGAATATAATAGAAATTGAATCGCAATCGACTCATCGTAGAGCTAGCAATCTCTTTATTTCTCCTTCTTTTTACTTCTTTATAATTCAATATATATATAATATATATTGAACGTTATATCGTTATAATATAAGTTAATATAATAATCTGTGTAAATAACGTTATTAAGAAAGAAAACAACGACGTGATAATGATTAACGCTAGGCTCCCCTTTCTCTTCGAATCTCATTTACACTTTTTATTTACAATGCTTTGTTTTTTTTTTCTTGGCTCACGGTGTTTTTTTCTTTTTTTTATTTTCTTTTTCTTCTTTCTTTTTTTTTACGACTTTGGACCATTCGATGCGAGGCTACCGTTTCGAGACGGGAGAAAAAAAAGAACGAATCCTCGAAACGGGTACCTCTTCTCGATCTGCGGATCGTTCCACGATCGAGGCGATCTCTAATGGCGGCCGGTGTTTGCGCCATAATTGGCTTCCCATAATTCTGTTCGGCCGTAAAAAAAAGAAAAGAAAAAGCGAACGACGTAGAATCGTCACGACAAATTCCTTTTGGCATTTTTTTTTTTTTTTTTTTTTTTTTTTTNTTTTTTTTTTTTTTTTTTTTTTTTTTTTTAGGCATGAAATACATACGCGCTCTTTGCAGTCGCTCTTTATTCTCACGCATCACGGTACGATAGAATTTGGTAATAGCGTTTTTTAACAATCGAAAAATATTGAAATCGACGAATCACTCGGCACGCTCGATCCTGAGTGATCCGTTTCTCATTTTATATTTTATGTATATATATATGTATAATAAATATATATACTTATTAATATGTAAGAACTTGACTAGATCACTTTAGTTTTTTTATTGACTCCCTTATTTAGTCTAGGTACTTGCTCGTGCGACGACGGAGAGTATGAAGTTACAAGATTCTTCTTCTTTTCTTCTTTTTTATAAAAAAATATTCAGGAGAATGAACTAGAATACGATTAACGCGGCTTGTCTGGTTGCTTCTGGTTCCCAAAAAGTTTTTGAGAACGGTGAGAGCTAACGAGAGGCTTGATCCCAATTCCAGTTGTAATTAACGATAGGAGCGGATTCTATGAACGCAGCAGCACCTCGGGTTCGTGAGAATTTTGCCAGATATTATCCGTCGATCGGCCATCACACGTAGCATTCGGTTTTAGGGCCCAACTCGTACTCCATTTCCTCGTTGTTGTACATATCCATTACCTGGAGAATATTGTTTTCAAAAAAAAATTTGTAAATTAATTCTTTCAAATAATAAAAATCATTGCATTCTAAAGGATTTTCTTGTGAATTCTTTATTTCTAATCTTGATAAGTGAATATGAAATTGGCATTAACGGAGAAAAACGTTACGTTCGATTCTAGAAAAATTTAAAAATTACCGCATTCATGTCTTTTTGCAATTCCTCCAATTGCTTCTCGTGGATTACTTTCAGCTTCTCCTTCTCCCTGTTCTGAATCATTTGTGCGATTCTCCTCTCCTCCATGAATTTTTTCGTATTGTTCTGCTGCTTCTCCCTAAGCCGGCCCTCCTTTATACCCCGAGTCTTCAAAGTTTTATCGTTCATCACCTCCCTCGTGCTCTCCACAGACAGCCTCGCCTGCCTCGCGTTCATTTCTTTGATCTCGCGCTCGTGCCGCGCCGTCAGCTGTTTCTGCTGAGCCAACTGAGCAGCCACACACAATTTTCTCAGAGTGTTCCTCCGCTCCTCCAAATGTGAACGTATCAGGTCACGTTCCTCTCGACGTTGCCTATCCGCCAATCGGGACCATTGAACCGTTTGCTCGGAAACTTCTCGACGAACGATCGGATCTCTCGACAGCTCTGCTTTGCTATCGAACCGAGAAATAAAGAAAAAAAATTTAACGAAGGAAAATTCGCGTTAAAACAAACTTTTTCCGCTACTCTATGTCGTAAACTGTCCAATAATTATCCCTTTCTTTTATTTCTTCCACTTGAAAGAGAAAGAAATATTAACAAATCATTTTTGTTGTTCAATAATCACCGAGTTTTTCATGGTTAAAACGATGTTAGGTTGTGGAATATTGAAGAAAAGAAGAAAGTATGGAAGTAATCAGCGAGGCTTTCTGACTTCGTTTAAAGAGAAACATCGGAGATCTATATATATATATATAAAAGTAGGATATATATTTAGCACGTGTATCCGTTTGGTAACGAGAATAGACAGAAGCACAGTCGAAAATCAAGGAAAAAGTTCCTCGTTGCATCAGTTTAAAAAAAAAAGAAAAAAGAAAAGAAATAAAAATCACGTACTTTTTCCCTTTGATAATCTTCTCTATCGCTGTGCAATGTTGTTTCTGGACGGTAAGTTTCTCCTTCTGATGCCTCTTCTTCAAAGATTCCAAATCCTTCTGCTGCTTTCTCAACACTTTCTGATACCCCTTCTCTTGCCTCAACGATTCAGCCGTTATGGGATTGAATTTCATTTCCTCTAAAGAAAAAAGACAAATAAAAAAAATCGTCATAAATCCAATTCTACTCAATTAAACCCGAAATGAAGGCAATTACCTCGAGGTTTAGGCGCTTCGCGATGATGGGCGGGCGCGGAATCACAGTGCCCTTTGCTGTCGCTCTCCTCTATCCCAAGCCCGCGCATCTTATTCTGAGACGCGTTCTCCGACTTCTTGTAGGCCCGTGGCGCCGTGAGCGCGTCCATAAGCCCTGTTTAATCCCAATGCGATTGAAAACATCGAGCAACCGAAATATCGCAATCGAGACGCTTACCCTCGTACCCGTCCGGCACGTAAATCTTGATCTCTATGTTGCAGAACAGCATGGGCAAGGACATGGGGAAGTTCGCCTCTGTTCTCAGGGATATGTGCCTGTATCCCGACTGTAGACCGTCCAAGGGGACGATTCTCTGGCCCAACAGTTTCCCGTTCGACTCGTCGTAAACGGCGAATCTGAGGGCGGCCAGGTCCGGCAGCACGACTTTTCGAAACAGGAATGGCTCCTCGTTGTAAACGGGATTCAGGCCGTTCGCTGGAACCACCCTGGTCCGAAATTCTTTCCTAATCGTGTCCGTCGGTAGACCGTACATTTCCACCTCCACGTAAGTGCCGACCTTCTTGTCGGATAAAAATTGGCCAGCGATCACCTAGCGAATCAACAAAGGCCAAAAAAATTCTCTCAAAGTCGATCTCTACGAGTTTCACGAGTTTCTTAACCTAAGCCTTTCGCTATGGTTTCGCCAGTTTCATCAGTCGTTAGACAGACTAGCTGAGCGCAAGTTTCGTCTTAATTGTTGAAAGTTAATTTAATCATTATAGATTATTATAGTATAACAATAATAATATAGTATAATGATATAATAATAGTAATATAGGAATATAATTGTGTAGGTTTTATAATTAATATTTAATTTAATTTATAATCGTTATAATTGATATTAAATTAACTTTAAGAATTAATATATAGAATTAATTATTTTGTGAAATTTTATGAAATTTTGTGAACTGAACTGATTAATGATGGAATTAAATGAATCAGATAAGTAATTAAATTATAAAATCATGATATTAGTAATTAGCGTTATGTATCTTGTCGAATATCTTGTATTTTCTTTTCTTCATACTTCATTTTAAAAATTTGTCCATAAATATCAGATTTATTCCCGGTATTAAAATTATGATGCAGTTATATCAAAACAGGATATTTGATGAAAAATTTGATTTTTTGGAAAGTACATTGTTAAATAATTTTGTATTTTTTTAAACGTTTACAGATTGAACAAAATACGCGTGTATAGAGAACTAATCGATAACTGATCGGTTACATTTCAATATTCTGTTAATTTATTAAGAAGCATTTAAAGATTTCATTTTCTAACGGATATGACGTCTCGAAACATCTATTTTAATTTAAATCGTTATAAATTGTGTACAAAAATATAGATATTGAGCTTCAGATCTTCGAGTCTACCAAGTCTTTCGTCTCAAAAAAAAACAATTGTAACACTGCTTTTAGGAATGTTAATAATAATTTTTATTTATAACAGTGTATTTATAACTTTTCTATGAAAGTATTCAACTAAATATTAAAATTAATGAAATTTTCACATTGCATAACGCATAGCAATTATAATGATAACATAATACTGAGCAATAAAACTTTTTAAATACAAAAATTGTGACTATGGTTTCGAATAAAGTTACGTGATCAAGTTGTGACAAGTTTATCTAAAAAAGTTAACTGCTTGCGTTACAATTCTTTGAATTACATTCGAGTAAATTTATCCTTCCCTTAAATTTTTCCCTTAAAAGAAAGAACTATCGATTTTGGATAGTTCTCGATACAAAGTTAAAGAAGGCACGAGAGTTCTTCGCGAGAAAGACGTAGATCGTTCGATTTGCAGAAATGCAGAAGAGCTCTTTCTACGAATCAGAAATGGGAGAATAATTTGGAGATTACCTGAACGCTGCATTGGGTGGCGATTACACCGTCCACAGGGCTCTCCGCGAACGGGTCGAAGCTTCGATCGGCACGTCTCATGAAGTCAGGTTTGAGTAGGTAGCCGGAGGAACCGTTGTACTCGAACTTGCCCTGATTCAGTTGCATGGGCAGGTCCGCGGTTTGGAAATTCAACGACACCATTTGACAACCAGCGTTCCAGAAGACCTGTTTTCAATCGATCGATCGGTTTTGGACGATGATTTTAGGATATCGGGGAAATTACCTGTGGCATGTAATTCGATGAATCCGCTCTGGTGCCTTTCGGATAAATCCGGCTCATTTGCCGCTTGTTGTAATTGACGAACTCGATCGCTTGGGTCTTCAAGTAATTGAGGCCAGCGGTTTCCGCGAAGGAAGACATATTGTGATGAATATTCTTTTCTGTACAAGAGGGCACTATCATCAATCGTCTCTTTCGTTTAACCGTATAACCGAGGGAAATCTTTGCCTTACGTTCGGCAACATCGAAGCCTGGGAACTTGATGGGCTGCGCGTAGTTGACCATCGAGGACAACCATGGATGGACGTTTGTCGTGCTTCCTGTATACGGTGGAACGGGTATGTCCAGAGTTTCGCCTAATCCCGTGCTCGAGCTCGACTGTTGCTGGTTCCCGGTCGTCGACGATGCGACCGACTCGGTCGTCGAAACCTCTTCCTGCAAATCGGACAAATTTCTTTCTCTAATTGTGATCGGGAAATTAATTGCCGGAATATGATATTATACATGTATTATACATGTATTTCGTAGCGTAACGTACAATCGTATTACCTTTACCGATTGTTGCTCAACGACAACAGCGACGGAGGGAGGCGCGCTCGCGTCTTCCTTGACCTCGTCCTCGATGACGAATTGGCCTTGCCGAAACAATTCCAACTCGTGCTTCTCCACCTCGGGTTTCAAACGTTTGTTCTTTATCAGAATCTTACGTTTGAGCAAATTGGGCGACGGCAGAGGTACTCCTGGCTCCAACTATTTTATCATAATATTCGTTATATGTCTTTCTTCTTTTTTTTTTTTTTTTCTTTTCAGTTAGATAATACGATAATTCGTATTCTTCCATCACAATACACGCACAGATGTGTAATTTAATCGAGCGATATTACAGATAAATTTTTAGATAACGACGAGTGGTTACCTTATGAGGATTTTATCGATTTCGTATTGACGTATTTAATTCGTTATCGCGAGATATGAGAAGGAATCGAAAACGGTGAAAGGAACAACAGTTTTCAATTTCATTCAAAAAATGATAAAACTACGAAAATAAACTCACTGGATAGTCTTTGAGCGGTTCCTTGAGAAGCAGATCGCCGAGAATTTCGTCGCAGTATTTGGCCAATTTGTATTGCTGCTTCTTGCTGCAATGGTTCTCGAAGCTAAGAATGACCGGATATTCCGACGTGACGAACGCCGTGTCCCTCACAGCGTAAATCACGTCCTTGAAGAGAATGTCCGTGCACATAGCTTTGCCATGCGTAATTATCGGCTCCTCGTCCTCCCCTTTTCCATCCCAACAATCCAACTCGACGCACCTTCAAGTTCCACGCGTTCTTCACACGCCTTCACAACTCGCTCGTATCCCTCTCGTATCCCAATCTTACCTGCAACCGGCCAACAACACCTGTCTGTACATCTCGACGCTGCTCTTCCCGCCGAATTGACGGCCGCACAGATACGTGTTGTGGCTCGAGTTGATGTAATAATGCGCCAGCGGTTGATCCATGTCCATGTAAACGTCCAGCCTGTCCAGGAATACGGGGGCATTTTCGTCTGACATCAGGTACCTTATGAAACCGTCCTTCGTCATCGTTTCTGAAAGGACGTGATTGCTTCTGAAAGGATCCCATTACACGAAAGGTACAAACTAATTCGAGATACACGATCGATAATGTTGAAGGGAGGAGAAGAGAGAGAGAGACCGAGAGAGAGAGAGAGAGAGAGAGAGAGACCGAGAGAGAGAGAGAGAGAGAGAGAGAGAGAGAGAGAGAGAGAGAGAGAGAGAGAGAAGAAAGGAACATTTTCGATGACGAAAAGGAAAAAAAATAATTCTTACTTTGATTCCTCGCTGTCTCGTTCTGCTCGTAATCGTTTATGATCTCCAACGCCCTCTTCTCGTCGTACAACGGGTACAAGATCTCGTTCAACGTTGGATCTCGTTGCTTCTCGTTCAGAAACATGACCAATTGATCGAGATTGATCGTGTCCGCTTTGCCCTGGGTGCTGGAAATAAAGTTCAAGCTCGAATGAACCATCGTCATCACTTTCCTTCATTATTTTCCATCATTGACGGAATTACTCACATGGATTGGAACAATTCCTCTATGTCGTTTCGTGGGCAGATTTTGTGATATAACGCGTAGAAAGCGTCGAAGGTGAAGTCTTCAGGCTCGATCACATCGTTCTGCAAGTTTGGTTTCATCAAAAATTTCGGCAAGGCAAAATCGTTCGATCGCTCTTATTACGTGTTTTTCTTTCTTTCTTTTTTTTTTTTTTTTGTTTTTGTTTTTCTCGCCTCTTACCTTTCCGCTGGATAGACCTAAATCGGCGAGGCACTGATAAACAAGCTTTTCCGTTTTCCCAGATGCGAAAGTTCTCGCGACCACTTTCACCGGAACTTTTCCATTCGGATCGATCAGCATTCTAAGCCTCATCCAACTGGAACACGGCAAACATTTATTTACTCCTCGACGACCCTCCTTCGGAATCTTGAGCGAGATCGAGGTAGGCTCATAGACACGGGGTCCAAAAATACGTATATACGTATATATTTTTTATAGAAAAAAAAAAAATCGTATAATCGTATGTAAGATGCACGAAAACTGGATCATAATAATATTTAAACGTTTAAGGAAAATTTAAATTTTATCAAAAAAAAAAAAAAAAAAAAAAAAAAAAAAAGAAAGTTACGCAAAGTTACGAAATATTCGGAGAGATTAAATTTATTCGAAGGAAGAAAATTACGTTACATCTCTGGAGGATAAAAATACGTTGGATAATAATATAACCGTTATAACATATTCTCGATCGCTTTGAAAAAAAGAAAAACCAGGAAATGTTACGCGTTCTTCTTTCTCTCTCTTTCTCTCTCTCTCTATATATCTCTTTCTCTCTCGATATTTAAAATCGATATCGCAAATAAAGGGTTTACAGGTGTGGAATACTGTTTCTGGCTAATTGTTTCATCGCGTTAATGTCAACGGGAGAATCGGCGTAGGTGTGTATATGTGTGTAATTGCATTAGGAAACTCACTGTTTCTTCAAGCACGTAAGCGGGCAAACGTTGTTGGCTTTCACGTTGTGCGTAATCGATCGTATGCCATCCAGCCATATCTGTCATAGGACACAGCAAACACGTGGACTTTATTGATCGTGATAATAATTGCTTAACCGAATGAATTGGAAAATTTCTTTCCTACGATCGATTTGTAAATATTCCCCATTTTCCCCTCGTATCTCTCCTCGTATAATTCGGCGAATTACGTCACATAATACGTGACACGACGTTATCTCGAGAGAGTTTTATATATATATATATTATTATTATTATTATTATCCGAACAATCCCAAAAGGGTTTAAGAACTTTCAGGTTCATTTGCTAAATTTTCAGAGGGAGATATCAAATAGAGCGGGTTATATAACGAGTAAATTTACCTTGGCCGTAGCTGAATCCGGGCAAATGACATGCTGGTAATTAATATTGGTATAATCTACGCCCGAACAGATGGTTAAACATTTCTCCTCTAATTGCTCCCCGTGCTTTGTCACAAGCTTGTCGTACAGCTTCGGGTCCTAAATTAAAGATTACAAAACTATTATACAATTCGTACGGTTAGCAGGTACGGTTGATTAAGACGAGCGAGGAGTAGGTGCGTTATCGATCCAGTTTCTTATAAACTCTCTTTTCTTAGAAAAAAGGAGGATTAAAAAGAGCGGCGTTAAATAATTTGCAAGTGGATATCGAAAAGTGGCCGAAGTAAAAAAGTGTTCTTGTTTTAAAATTAAAATTGTAATTTAAAACAAAAATTTGTACAGTTTTGTTTGTACGAGAAAGTAAAAAAAGAAGAAGAATATAATAAATATTTTTTTGCAGATACACATCGTATTCGTAAAAAAGAAAAAAAAACAAAATCGTAATAAAAATTTTATCTCCAATAGCGAATCGATTGCCGTCAAAACGATTATGTGTCTGTAGAAATTTTGAACGTTTTTCTTTTCTCCTTTTTTTTTTCTTTTTTTTTTTTCTTTTTTTATGAAAAATGGATGTCACGTTCGAAACAGGATGACAATCGTTGGATATGACATTCTCACCTTTGGTAATCCGCCGGCGCGTATATCGCTCACTTGACACAGCTCTATCACGTCCCCGTCCTATGCATATTTGAAACGTAAATACGAAACGTTTAAGCAATTAAACGCGGTAATTAAATGCACATAATACGATGAAACCTGTCAAGATTTGTTTGTCAAGGTCAAGTTGCAAGATTCTAACCAGATGCTTGGTAATAGATAGATAATTTCTGCAAATTTAAATATTGAAATCAAACATTTCTCGAAAGGTGAAATTGATCAATCTCGATTTCAATCAGTCAGTTTGTCAATCTCTTTAATCTCTTTCGAAATGAATTATCATATCACGTAATCAGAAAATAGAAAATTTTCTACGCTACTACGAAACAGAAAGGTTAATATTACTAAAATAACGACGTAGCAATAAGGTCGAGAGTTAAATGATTAAAAGACAGAGATCAGTTCGAGGAATCGATACGTTTCTCTAAATTGCTTCGAAAGACGCGAGGTAAGCTTTAACGCGCACGAACAAAAACGATCCAGTGGGAATTTAGGAATTTTTCATTCAATTTTCCCTAGCCTAAAATCAGGTGAATACCGTAGACACGAATATTTTACTGTATTTTCGCGTTCCAGTTCCAACTAGAATATATTAGATCCTAAATTCCCAAGTCGTTCGTTGGAAAAAAAGAGGGAGAGATTTATTCTCGAATCGGAATAAATCGGAATCGACAGTGAGAAACAGATTGACTCACCCTTCCTTCGCTCTGCCAGTAGATGAAGAACCCATATTCGTCGACCTTGAACATGCAATTCAGCTCGAGCTCCGTGTTGTCCTTCTCTTCCGACCACCGATCGAACACGCATCCTTGACGGAGGGCTAAGGGTACCTCGATCTGCCAATTGAACTCGAATCTCTTCGTCATCTCTTCTCTCTCTCTCTCTTCACACCGATTCGTCCGTATCAAGGGATGCTACGCACGCGTCGTCCAAATCCTGTCAACGAAAGGGGGGGGAAAAAAAAGAAAATGATTTTCTTAAAAATTTCTAAACGTGATCCGCGTCCGTGACACGGATTTACACGCGGCGATTCACACGATTACGCGCGATTCGTAGGGATAAAAGATTAGAGTTTTCAACGCCGTTTAACAGCCGTCTCCACGAGCCGTTGCCCACGAAAGATAAAACGTTTTCCAATTGAACGAGATTCGATGTAGTAGATACCATTACCACCACCGCTCCCTCGCCACTCAAAATAATCGAATTACGTGACTAACCGATCTACATTTAGATACGAAGTTTGGTTTGAAATAATTAATGGAAATGGGAATAGGCGATATTGCAAGATCATATTGCAATGTCCCGCCTCGTTAACGATTCCAACGTTGTTTCGATCCACCCGAGATTGCGAAAGTAACGCTTCGTTGTTTCGAATACGAAACAAATCTCGGCCGATTACTCTTTGATGCTGATGTTCATTTATTTAAAACGCGCGGCATTGAGAGGGGGATCGATTGAAGCACGTACAGTGTGTCTCTTAATGGTATTTCTCCTGGCCACAATCGAGTTAACCTGATCGGGAACTGAAAGGGAGGGGAGATGCCACGGCCTCTTTAACCTGCATCAAAATCCAATTAAACCTCGTTCGCCTCGTTACGCGAAACGCGAGACGGCCAACGTTAACATCCTAAACAATCTCTCGTTCGCGTCGTCTCGATCCTCGAAGTCGAAAATCGCTGAAACGCCTTCGTTCGCGATGATCGACCGTATGGATCGACCGTGGAGTCGAGGGGAACGTCGATTTTTGTTATCGGCCTCGAGAGCCATCATTTTAACAGTATTTTCTCAACCTCCTACGGGAGGTATCGAGTTAATCGCATTTCTCTATTTCGCTTTCGCTGCTCGTGCATGTCCTCGTGGATCGATGATGATAAGCGAAGGGGATAAAAGAAGAAAAATCGAAATTGTTTTATTTTATTCTATTCGTAGACGGAGAACGGAGAATCTTCTTTGTACGGAAGAAAGCTTTGTTCCTTTCCTAGACGAAATAAAGAACATTTTAAGCGAATAAATGCATGCATCGTATACGTGCTCACGAATTTTTAAATTCGATTTTCTCAGAAACGAGATGAAAAAGTTTTGTCCCACTCGCTCTTTCATTTATTTTTCAACTTGCGGAATAATATTATCCAATCAAAAAATTCTCTTCTTTCCTTTCGCGAATAATTCGATCCTCGTTATATAAAATGTACAACGAGATTGTAAAGTCAAAGGGAAGTGAAGTAACCGAAGATGAAGTCACACCGCCTACGAGAGCCCCAATTAAATATACACTCTCGCAGGTGTACGTTGTGCAGCTGTGAGATTTTTCATTTTTTTTTTTTTTTTTTTTTTTTTTTTTTTTTTTCGATCAGTCGATATCGTATCGAAGCGCAAAGAATTTACCGGCATCGTTGCACCGATTGACCTTTATTCCCTTACAGTTACAAAGTAGGACGAAGCATAGAAAGAGTTTAGGTGAAAAATAGAACGATACTAGAGAACACGCTCTATGCTCCATTCACGAATCTCGGGCGTGGATTGATCGTGTGCAACGTTTCGTATTCGTCGACTCGGATCTTTTTATTATTTCTGCTGAGCCAAGGATTAAAATTCGATCTCTTCTTCGTTTCTCGCCCGATCGAAGCAAGGTATAAAAGATAAGCGGTGAATAATAAATGGCAAAGTTTTATCTTTCGTGGACCGCGTCGAGGGGAAGCAAACAACGCGATAAAACTAGTGGTAAATGGGACACACTTACGAGCGTTAAGAACGTTTCTTCCTCGCTGGCTTGCACATCTCTTAGCTCTCCGCTTCACCTAGGAACAAGAAAGAACAAGTTCGGTGAATGCAAGTTTTCGTACACGCAGAAGTCAAGGTCTCGAGATTCTATAGATAGAATTGGTATACAAATTGATTTCACCGAATTTTATGATCGAACTTCGGTATATATTTCAAACCGCTGTCAAACATCGTTTTCCTGTAACTGTTGCCCCGTTTCCGGTCACCGGACAACCGACTATCGTTCAATTTCTTTGACACACCGAATTCAACGAATCGCGCGATGAGACCACGAAATGTTATCTTTATTACAATGTTTACATGAACGATCGATCAAGCCCAAATACATCGCACAAAGGAGTCGAGCATCGCAGTTGTGTAATACTAATAATTTCAAATTAGCACGAAGAAATATACACTGATAAAAATTAAAAGAAACAAACTAATCGTTCGCAATTTTCTTTATTCGAAAAACAATTTACTGTTTACTTGGCGAGTTAAATTAACTTTTCAATTTCTCAAAGTTTTCTTCTTTCAAAAAAAGTACATTGTAAAAATTTGACACTATGAACGTAAAATGGGAACGAAGATAGGAAGAGGAATACGTGGAAACACTTTTCGCAGTCATTGTCTTTGTCTATGAACCGACATAGATGGACAGAATGAATGCGACTCTTTTCGTTCCATCTCAATTCTAATTTTCTCTTTGCGCGAAAACGAAGAGAGAAACTCTGATAACTCTACTTACTGTACGATAACGCGACCGGGAATAACATTGACATCGCCTCTGAAAATCACAAGAGCGCCGTACCAAACGAAAGTACAATTAAACGGGAGTGCTTATCGTCCAAGCTGGCTAACTATTCTGTAAATGGATTTATCATTCGCGAACGAGAAAGGTCGAGCACCTATCGATGTTTCTCTATCGTATACGGATATCCCGCATCGGCTTATCTCAGAGTGTCGTTATCTTAATTGACGCAAAAGGAAGCTTTGAAAAAAAGAAAAAAAAAATTGAGTCAATGACGTTTGGAATTTATACGCTCGATAATTATGTGTAAAAAAAAAAAAAAAAGAAGAAGAAGAAGAAGAAGAACTTCGTGTTCTTTTGTTTCGACTCGAATGTTACAACTTCATTAGATTAGATACCGATCGAAAAGAAAAAAAAGGGAGAGATTTGTAATAAACACGATATTTTTTCACGATCGGTTAGATATCGATTCGAAGGAAAGAAAAGAAGAAGAAGGAAAAAGAAGGAAGAGGTCGAATGTCGAATTAGATATTCGTGAAAAATTTCAGAGATAGATACGGATACAATGGAGGTATATAATAGGTATGAGAAACACAACTGGACCGAACACGAGTAGCAACAAAGCCGGCGAAGCACAAAAGAAAAATAAAATAAAGAAAGCGGGGGAATAAGGTCCGGGGAATAAGTATAACGAAACGAACTCGTAGGTATTTTCGGATTGCCTTGCGGTTTCAGAATTTTCAGACGTCCACCAATCTGACTCGAATAAGAAGTATATACCTTGCTATAAATTCTTAAAGATTGACGTTGATTCTGATTTTCGTCCGATTTTATTCCGTTCGTAGGGAAATAAGTCTCCTGGATTTCGCCATTAATCATAGTTAACTGTTCGAATGGCGTTTTTTTCAAGAACGCGGCCAGTTCCCAAAAATCAAGTTGCCGTGCGAATTTTAAACATTAATTTACATTTTCGTAAATTAACGAAAATAATTCATAAAAAAAAGTTGTAAAATGTTGCGAAAACAGGGGGAAAATTTCGACGACGAAAATAAGATTGGTAATGATAAATAAATTTAAGATTATGTAAAACCTACGTAACCTATGAAAATAAGTGTAGCGCGGAAGTGTTCAAAACATCGTCCACGTTGTGAGATATTTTTCTTCCCCGATTCGATTTCGCGATGTTTATTTCTTTCACGATTGAATTGATATTTTCAAACGATCCTATAATTTTTCGAATAAACGAAAAAAGCATTGAGAGTACGTATTTACCTCTTCTCCATTGGCCGCGCGTCAACAAATTGGTGGCGGAACGGTGGAAGATACAAACTAACATTTTAAAATTAAAAAAAAAAAGGAAAGATGATAAAATTAAAAAAGAGAAATTTAGACGAATAAATCGTAACCGTCTCGTGTTATATATTTAATTTCTTCATCGTTTTTTCTTCACGATTCATCGAGCGTGTAATTGATCCTGATAAAATTGAATGACGTCCACACACACGCGCGTAATTGCAGTCGATTTATTTCTCACACGACATCTCTATACGAACGAACGTGTATACACAGAGGCGGCGCGTAAACAGAGGAACGTTACGAAAATAATGTAGGAGTCGCGGCTCGTGCCGGTGCTTCTTCCTTGGCACGATGAAAACGTTTCTGGCGTCTGACAGAGTAAACGAATTCTTCGAGGAAGAGTGGAGGGGGGAGGCCAAGTAACGACGTATCATAGGCACGAGCGCGCGCTACGGTTTACTTAATGGCAAAGTGGTGATCGAGTATTTTGGTCGTGAAAGCGGAAGAACGCGGAATGTCGTAATATAGCTTATCCCTGTTGATAGTCTCTGCCGTATTCGCTAAACGGCCGCTCGTAAAACTTCTCTCGAGCGTAAAGCAGCGTTCTCATCGATTCAACCAAATGGAAAGAAACTCGATATTTTTGACAAACGTGACGCTGCAGAGACGATCTCGTTTTCCAAGTAGATCTCTACTGTTTCCATTTCTTTTGGCTTCTGTTTTGGGTTTCAAGGCGAAACTGGAGGGGACGTTCCTTCCTATCGAGACGCGTCGACGCCAGACGGCTTACTTAAAAACAAGAAAAAAAAAAAAAAAAAACGTGAGAAACGTTGGACGATAGTAGATAAATTTTTCCAAGAATTTTTTCCAAAAATACGAAACAATGATAAAAAAAAAAAAAAAGTTTGATAAATCGTCGCTTCGGTGGGAACGCAGCTTAACGATTTTCGTTCCTCCTCGTCTAATCGAGATGTTTGTTTACACGATTTTCGAAACTCGATTGCACGCGATCGACACGTCGCTTTATTATTCACGAAACGAATAATTCGCGATATAAAAATTCTCGAATTCCCCGAGATAGACGTAAATATCCGCGTATCGCCGTGTCGATACACTCCGATTGCTATTTTTACGGAACGAGGGGAGGAAAATGCGTTGAACGAATAATGCAGCGTCTGGTCGGATCGTTGAAAGAGGAGGAAGGTTATGCACGCTTATGCAATATCACGTAATATCTTCACCCTGTGTTCAACCTCTCGAGAGAATGAAATTATCGCTCTATAATCTGTACCAATAATATTGAAAATATCAGGCAGAAAGAAGTTCGTCCAGTTCGACGGGACGACGAGACGAGACCTCCTCCACCCCCCTGTATCCCCCATGCGCGTGTTTTTCAACGAAGAGCAACTTTTTTTTTTACAAACATTACACGATACGCATTATCTCTGGTGGAATAGCGAGCTATATACGAGCTATATACGCATATGCTCGCTCCGCGGTCGTAAATACAAGGCAAACATTTGCACTTTGATACACGCATAAATGGGACGTTGTTGGAAAAATATTTGCACAGTGGATGAATACCTTGGCTACTTGCGCGGATTCGAGAGCGAGCGTTAGAGGGGCAGGTCAGCGAGAATTTGTTCACGCGTTGGATTAATAGGCAAGTGGCTCGATTACGCGGGCGATGGGTCGGATAATTACACCACTTCCGGCATAGGCTTTTGAAGGACGACGACGACGACGACGACGACGAGCATGCCGCGACATTGACCGCTCAATCGCTTAATGCGCTCGGCCTCTTCGAGAAGAATAGGAAATAAATGAGGGTCGTGACCCGTATTGAGCAATAACGGCAATAGGAAAAGACGACACGCAGATTCTATCCGTTGTAAACTCTGGACTTGTGACTTGGATGAATCCGTCCAATTTGATTTGAATTTCTAATTTAGGATAACAATTTTTCGACGAATTTATCTTTATACTTTCCTTCCCCTCGTGGATGGCGTGATTTTTAATTCGTTAAAAAAAAAAAAGATCGATCTCCATATTTACATTTAGAAAAATCTTCATCGAAAGAATTCGATCGTAACGCAATAAATAAATTTTTTTACGATTGATTCAAACATCTCTCGAGTAACTTTCCTCGTCGGGGAACTGTTCAAACACGCGCGCGTATAATTTGTTTGCAATTTATCTCCGTTTAATTTTTTTTTTTTCCATCGAAACATAACGTCATCGTATAAATCATTCGCCAGAACTTGTCAGCCTCATCGATCATCTTACGTCAATGATGTAACGCATTTACATTCAATAGAAAAAGTTAACAGACACGCTCGATATCGAACGGTTGCACGGGCTGGAACAGCCGTAATTAAAATGTAAAAAAAGTAGCAGCAGTGGGGCAAAAAGTCGCGATAAACGATCGAGAGACGATTAACAATCCAGAGAATCTCCGTTGAAGAAATGGCAATTGCGGTATTTCCGCGTCGCTAACGAGCGTAATTATCCGTGGTGGCTGTTTTCCACGCGGACTCGAGTCCCCTTTCGAGACGAGAAGGTCAAAAGTCGGGAAAGGAGGAGAAATGAAGAGAGAGAATGAGGGTTGAGATAGATAAAGCGGTGAAATGGCAGGCTGATATGAGAGAAAGGACCAATTTTGGAGGCCGAAATCTCGCGATGTTCGAATCCATATCGTCGAAAGTTATGCACTGGCCTCATCATTATCGTTCCCTTGACCTCAAAAATCTCTTGGCTCCGCGATTATTAATCTCTCGCTCGTGCGCTCCTCTCTCACCAAGTGTCTTAATCGTGCCTGCTAATTAGCAAATCGTTGCCTGTGTGGTTAAATACGTTGTATACGATACAGAGCTACGTATGTGTATCGTATACGTATCCTGGGATATGTAGCGATGTAGCGCGTAAAATGAAAGACGAGACGAATGAAAGAAACCGAAGGGACATACAATGCTCGCGTGGGTCAGCACGCATGAGCGGTAACGTAAACGCGACGGGAAAGAAAGAAAAACAGAGAAGGAGGCGGCGGAGAAGCAGAAAGGCGGGGAGGAAGAAAAGGGGCGGCGGGGATGGGCGGAGAGAGGAAGCAGTGGGAAAAATGAAAGGGAGATGGAAAGAGAGATTACGCAAAGAGAGAGGAGAAGAAGAACGAAGGAAGAAAAGTGAAAGGGAAAAAAGATATCGCGCGGATAGAGGGCCGTGACTGACTGGTGAACATGCGCGCGAGTGGATGTTGTTTGATGTTAATGGTTATCTAGCTGGAAGGAATCTAATTTATTCTATATGAACAACCGTATGAATTATTCGTTCCGATACGGGAGACGAACGAAACGATCGGAATCGATCGAGCGTATCACCTTCCGTAGCAAAGTTCAAACTCTCGTTTCGTTCGTCTGGAAATCGAAGCATTTTTTTTTTTTTTTTTTTTTTCTCTATATACATCAGATTTCTTATATCCGGAGGTCTATGAACCGTTACGTCGTTAATTATGTGCATACTACACGATATCTGACGTTCGTGATCCTACGTAAATTTCCCGACTGATACATAGTTTATACGTCCAAGGTTCCGGATGAAACGCAATGTGTCTGTGACGTGCAGTAACCATGAACGGTCGTGTACGATGACGGCTCGCGCGTGTATACACACACACACACCTACACGCTCGAGTCGCGCGTGTATCCGAGCACACATGGGCGTACCACGCTCCTCGAACGAAATTTCTGCAAGGTGTCTCGCTCGCCTTACCCGTACGTGTATGCGTGAAATAACCGGCTGACTGACGGCTACGGTCTCGTGTCGGTTCGATTACATTCTCTTTCCCCTTTCTCTGTCACGGTTCCTCTCTTCCTTCCCCGTATCTCGCACACCACTCGACGCGCGTCACCTATCCGCTTGGTGGTGAAAAAATTAAAAAAAAAAAAAAAAATACGAACGGACAGTGTAGGAGAAGCGCGCGTTTCTTCGGCACGACACTGAACGCCTTTCAGGCGCGGCGGAAGAAACTGACGGTGCGACACCGTCTGTTGACGGGCAAGCCACTAGCCTGGCTCGATACCGTCCTTTTCTCCTGCGCGCATGTGCCGCGCTCCGCTGCTCGGTTAATAAAAACGATATCTGCTTTTACCTTGCTTCCATGGAAATTATTTACGTGAAATCTCGTTTATCGGAACGCGACAGAGAAGAAGCGTGTGAATTCTGATATAACAGGAATTTAATTTCACCCCTCTGATCCCTCTTGCACGATAATTGAAAGAGTTTCCGCGAAGAGGATATAGATTCTTCTTTCGAAATATTATTTTTGATATATGTATGTATCTTGTGTAGTGCATTTTTGGTATAATTATTATTTGCGTCGTGGGTTAAGATATTTAAGGAATTTAAATTTAATGAAAAAATTTATATTTATTTTTTTTATGACGCAATTTTGCGTCAAATGGGACGAATCGGAAAATTTGTTAATTTGTAAAAATTAAATTGAATAATTGTGAAATTTGAATTACTTGATTGCAAATTTACGTTTCTCGTGTAATTATTTACTCTTATTGATTTTGTTTCTACTTGAGCGCTACTCGAGCGATTAGGTAAGGAATCAAGTGTTTCCGTGTCTGACCGCACGGTATGATTCCACTTTGGCATGAAGAATCGGAACCATGAAATGCGTTTCAATGGCAACGCGTTTCGAGAGGTGTATATAAAATTTAAGCGTGAATATCAATTCGCTAAGGTACGAATATTCGTATATAACTTCAATCGGAAGGCGCAAAAGCGTGAAATTTCGTCTGTGAAAATTAATATTTGAACCGATTTAAAATTAAACAATCCCTGGTTTAGTTTCAAATATGTGTTCGAATTCGGGCCGATCGATTAATCAAAATTGATTTTTCTGAATTTCTGTATCAAAGTCGAATCGATCGAAACGTGATAATCATTAAACTATACATCCCATATTTTGAAATACGAATCCTCTATATTTGAGACAGTTAAACATCAATGCAGAGAAGAGTTTCTTTGAATATGCAAATCTTTGAATAATGTACCGTACAGTAATTTTGTCATATTTGCGACTGTATTCCAATAGGTAATGAAAATGCGTGTCATGGGATATAAATATCTTCCTGAGTAAATAAAGTGAAGACAATTATTTATATTTGCGGACAAATGTGTATAAAGTTAATATTTCAAATATGAATTTCATTCATTTGCAAAGCTAAATTGGCTAAAGTTCAGAACGACGTCATTTGTTTTCAAAGATAGCTTTTCTTAATTTGATAAAATTATTAAAATTATTCATTTTCCTAATTTTTATATATACAATCAGAGGGGTGAAATTCAATTTCTCCAAGTTCTTAATAAGAAACTTTCTTATTGAAATCTGCATATAAAGTTCTGTTTAATCTTATTAAGCATTATTGAATCAAAGTTGGCGCGATCTCGAATTGCATCAAGAACATAATGAAAGCGTGATATAATATCGATAATAGATATGAAATAATTATAGCACTTACCAGATGCGTGTATTGTAGAAAACTTCGAATCTGTAATTATAGATCAGAAATGGAATAGGCGCGACATCTTATAAGATTTTATAATACACGTTCTGAAATACTGAATTCTGAAAAAGATCAAAATATATTAATATCTAGCATAAGTCTATATTATAAGTCTATATAATAAGTCTATATTTAAGTATGTAATATTTTTTCAAGCCAACAGATGATTCTTTTTTTAGTGATAAAATAAAGTTTTAAAAAATCAGAAAGTTACTAAAATATAGAATTATGAAATACTACAATGCAATGCATTATATATCCAGCAATTAAATATCCAACAATTCGTATAAATGATTAAGTACAAGTATTTACTATTATTTTCAAGATAACGTTTTAATATTATATTTTATTTCACATAATTTAATCTTTTTTATTCACAATTATATCTTTATTTTATTTATATTTTAAAAAAAATATAAAAATGCTCATTACTAGGTTCCATTACGAGGATGTGACATAAAAAATACAATGAATTATTAAAATTTTACTTAACGAAATTAAATAAATGCAAAAGTATTTATTCTATTAAAATTTTTAATCGATAAATTAAAGAACAATGCAAAAAATTATTCAGAAATCGTTCTCTCGTTTAAATTCGTAGACTAAATATACATAAGGAAAGCAATAAGTAGAAAAAGGACGGAGATAGATTAAAAATAATGAATTCAGCGCCATCTGCAGAGTGCCGCAAATGAAACTCATAAAGAAAGGATAGAAAATAATAGAAGAAGGACAGAGATAGGATAAAAATTGATCGCAAGTGCCATCTCTTGGCCACTAGTTGTAAACATCTTTTCAAAAATTCTTAAGAGATGGCGTTGAATGTTAATTCTTACTCTATCTTGTCGTATTTTTGTGCCAGAGAGATGGCGCTAACTATCAATTCTTATATTTACCGAGTTTCATTTACTCTAAAGATGGCGCTGAATTCATAATTTTTAATCTATCTCCATCCTTTTTCCATTATTTGCTTTCTTTGTCCACGAATTCACGAATTCACGCGCTCAAAAGGACGACTTCTAAAATACATTTTATGCATTTCTTCAATCTTATGCATTTCTTCGTTCTTCAATCACGAGAACTCTGATCGCTCACACGAGAACACCTGTCCATAGCAGAACTCTTTTCGAACAAACGTCGATACAAAAACGAATCTACTAGAATCATCTAAAATAATATCGATCGTTGAAAAAGAATGAACTTGATTTTTCATACTGCTTCGATCAAACAAAAGATTCCTTCGTTTCGTCGATAATATCGACAAAAAAATCTTACACTTACCATTACACCTAAAAGATAGATTCTAATAATTTCTTCCAATGAATCATTCCCATTCGATCAAGAAGAGTCCAAACGTCGAACAGAATATCGGATCGAAATCTTCGAATCGGATATTATCGGAATTTCTCGAATTGCGATCCTACCGTTTGAAATACGAAAGAAAATTTCACATATAAATTTCACGAAAGCAAAACGCTCGGAAACGAGTGTCGCGGTCAGGAAGGATAAACTCGATACTCGACCAATGCTAAACTTTTTTCTTTAATGGAAAAGTACGCGCAGTACTTTGCGATCCCACGGGATGCGATTAAACGACCCGATGATGTTAGCAACTTACCGCATCTCGTAACATTTTCTCCGCGATACATCCCCCCTCGTGGAAACGTATTGTGTATCAGTGTCGCGCGGTTAATCTTAAAATAAACGAACTTACCCAACGTATTTACCGGAGCCCGGTAATGTTCCCAGATAAATCTAGATCCACTTCCACCAACTGGGGAGGGAATTTCGCTCCCAAACAATGGGAATCACGTACGTGCCGGCGAAATATACGATCAACATCCATACGCTCAAGAAGTTCCTCCTTTAGTTCCTCTATTTTCTATTCTCTGTGACGTGCACACGATCCGATTCGCGTATCCTAAATAAGATCTCATCCGTGTCGAAGAAAGAAACGATATATATATATATATATATATATATATGAGGATATCGTTTGTAAATTTGCAATTCCAATTCAAGTTTCAATTTTAGGGGAGAGGGAGGGGGAAAGTTGAATCGAAACGAAAGGGAAGGACCCGACTGTCTTCGAAAAGGCCGTAGCCCTACGTGAAAACGTGCGAGCGCCTTTTTTCTCTTTCTCGGTCGGGCCTGCTAACTCGACAGACCACACGGGTGTAAACCCTCGTTTTGAATATGCATGACAGTTCTCTCTTTTTTTTTTTCTGTGCCGTCTGCTCGTTTCTCTCTCTCTCTTTCTCTCTCTCTCGGTTCTAAAGCATCCTCTCCTCCCTCAACCCCTATTTCTCTTAACCCTCATTCTGGCTTCGCTCGCTACGAAATTAACTCGCATTCCGAGTTTCCTTTGATGTCACCCAAAGTGTCACTGACCATCGGTGGTGCTCGTAGTTCTATATATATGTGTGTGTGTGTGTAAAATACATGGTCAGAGGCTTTATTCATTCCTGCTTGATTCGTTTACAGTCTGTAAACAAATGTTCCCTGCTCTGGTTCTCTAAGACACTTCTAAACTGTGTGCGAAGATGCAAGGAGCGATTCTGACGAAATGTTTGCGTAAAATTTAGGATGATTTATGTAGGTGCGCGTGCGTGAGGAATTAAATGTCGGCACATGTTAACGAGGATAGGGATAATGTTTGAGAGAGAGAGAGAGAGAGAGAGAGAGAGTGCTCGCCCATATTTGGCACTCGGAGTAAAAAGGATTCTCGCTTAATTTTACTCACGGTGACGGTATTACGAATGGGGAATTGAGATTAATTAGTGTTTGCACTACGTTCCTCGTTTCTACGTTATTTCTGGAAATAGGAAAGCATCGTCTATGTAGTGAAAAATTTTCGAAACTTCTAATATCTTCCTACCATCTTCGTACAGAAGATTGATACTCGATTCCTGTATATAATTTAATATTTGATCGGTTTAAATCTGAAAGAAAAAAAGCGAGGAACGATTAAGGGAAGAGGATTTCAACGATTGGTATTTTTGAAACGGACAATTTTCGCTATTGCAATTTTGGAAAAATTAAAAAGGAAGAAGAAAAGGCTCGAATCGTTAAGATTCGGAAGGGAATTTCATCTTCGTACTTCGACACCAACAAATTTTCGTTATTCCATTTTATTATACCGGTTCAATATTAAACAATCCGGATTAAAATCAACTTACACTTCATCGGATCGAAGACAATTTTCGCAATCGCAATTTTGGAATAATTAAAAAGAAGAAAAAAAGGATATTGGCCGGGCTGAAATCAATTACGCTTCATCGAATCGAAGAAACGTTGCGTCCTCGGCGCAACATGTTCGTTACTCTATCGTAAGGATCACGATTTGTAGACACGCATCACCGCGACACGTGTCGTGGCGCGGCGTGCACGCGTGTTACATGCATCGTATTGGCACCCGCATGTACATTTCATGGAGGGACGTGTTTC